TGTTAGCCTGTCTGTAGGGCTACGAGAGAATAAATAAAATTGTATATGAGTATATCTCATAGATTTTATTTAATACAAGGAACACGTATTCTTATCAAAGAAAATGAATGGTATATATACCAAAAGAAAAGAAGGAAAAAATGTAATATATGATTACATTTTTAACTCAAAGAAAAAGAAACGAAAAAGGGAAAAATGTAATATATGATTACATTTTTAACTCAAAAGAAAAAGAAAAGAAAAGGGGAAAAATGTGATTACGTATCACATTTTTAATAAAACATGCATAGAAAGAGTGATGACTTGAGTCATCGCTAACACAGACTACTATTCTGCAGCACAGAGATATGTATTCTTATACATTTATTGATGAGTGCTGTATGCACAATTTGATTATAAATCATTCGAAAGAAAAACTAGTGTCTGTTTATCTTCATTTTTTCTCGCGTTTTTGTCAAGTCAAATATTCTCATCTCCTGTCTTCTATTTTATTTTGCAATAAACAGATATGAAATAATATATCAACAACTTTCCATAATACCATATTCATTAAATAGTCAATCAATATTTATTAATTCATTAAATTATCGTTTACAAAGTTATTCTTACTTAATCATAATTTATTGAAATTCTAATAATATAGAAGATATGCATTTTATATCTTGATTGATTTTATTTAAAAAATATTAAATACTCGATTATTAATAATTACATGTAAAGATGAGAAAAACTAAATATTGATTATCAAAAAAATGATTATGTGCAATCGTTAGAATAAAATTTACTATCAATATAAATAATGGAAAGAGATATAAAATTTTTTTCATAACACATAAAATAAATATTTCCATTCCGTAGTAAAATATGATAAATAAACAATATATAACATCTATCATAGACCACATGTTATATTAATACGAGAGTAACGCACGTCACCTGAAAAGAAAAAAATATTGAAGATGACAAGTTTTACTTTTTCAAATAAATAAAAAAATTGAACTGGAAATATTATCAAATGAATTTTTACTGGATGGAGTCAAATATTTATCGTATTCGTAGAATAATTTCTTTAATCAATATTCACCCCGTTGTACGTTGATGTATATATAGTTTATTTGATGTTATGATGTATCTTGAGCATCCGTCCCTATTATCATTATTTTCGCACATTCTTAATATATAGTATACTAAGAATTGATAGGAAGAAATCAACTGAAACAGTCGAAAAAAAATCGCTTGTTTAAAAGGATTAAAGAGTATACGTACATATATAGAAAAGAAAGAGAATGGCGCGTAGATGGAAAAAAACCCAACTTTTATGATATATTCTATAATATGACATAATAATCAACTTATTTATATTTATTTACAAACTCATCAATTAAATTTAGAAATTCAAAGAAATGATAATAATGTTAAACAAATTATACACGTCTTTCTCGATACATTTTCATTTATATTCGATATAAAATCACTTTATCGATCATATAAATGTGTTGAAATTTTCGAAAACAGTTATAGAAAAATATGTCCTTATAAAATTTTAATCTTCTTTATGATAAATTTTCAAATCTTCATTGTCTTGATGTTGCACTTCTATTTGAGATTAATTTCTACGAAAGTAACATATTTAAACAATATTTCAGTTTGGTTTCAATCTTTTGAAGGTAGTTTTCTGTATAATAATATGAATAATATAAAGACGCTCGTTTTCAATGGAAATATAATCCAATGTATATAATAATGTTGAAGTTTAGTTCTAAGAATAACATTGATTAATACTCTATATAACTTTTTATGGTATAAATAAAAATGACTATATACAGTTTCATTTTATTTAAATTATCATAAGAGAAAGTTCTCAACTGTAATTCTTCATTTCGAATAGGAAATATGTTAGCTTGTAGATCTCGACAGCTGATTCTAGTGATGAAAACTAGATAATCAGTTGGTATAATTATGGAATATCGCACAAGAGACATGAAAATTCAACAATAGTTTAGATAAAGAGAGTTCTATATAAAGATCCAACAGGTTCTAACTTTTCAAGAAAGGATTGTCAATTCAAATACTTTTATGCTTCTTACTATCTCGATGTCCTCTATTGAACGACGTATGACTGAAGGAAATCGTTGCTGAATATTTTGGGCGATTACTTGGAGATTAAAAGACAAAATGATAACTCTTTCAAAACTAATACATGAAAATTATTCTTTTTCTTATAGAGAAGAGATTAGCAAATATAGATGATCTGCTTGCTTGGATATCCGCACTTCACCGATTGATTAAAGATTAGTGCGAGAAAAACAAAACTCCAGACTTAAGAAAAAAAAGATTTTTTGGAGGTATTTCGATATGAAGAACTTGAATCCGAGTTTCCTTTGCTCGCACAACTCATGAGAGGAGTGACAAGAATCGGTAGTACATAAATAATATTTTTACAAGAAACACCTAATCGAGTTCATAGACGCGTATTACTTGTTATGCTTTCTCATCGTTATATTATATTATTCTCGGTTTATTGGATAAAGTAGAATGAATCATTTTACTTTCTAAGTAAAATAAAATTAACATGTCACTTCGATTTACATCGTCTTCTTTAAATACTTTCATTCTGTTCTTTCTCTTCCAACGAACGAAAAAAGATTTCTTTACTTCTCTCAACAATAAACTTCACAAACATAAAAATAACTTGCATGTCATAAAATGTCTACTAACAATCATACTCCATCAATTTGCACACTTCCAGTGGAATTAATCTATCGTATATTAGACACATTAGATAATGAAACTATTTTATTTTCATTTGGATATACTTGTAAACGATTTCAAACTATTATACATACATATAATCAATATAAACTTAATTTTAAATCAATATCAAAACGATATTTTCATTTAATTTGTCATTCAATTCATCCAGAAAATATTATATCATTAACACTTTCAAATAATAAACAAACACCAGATCAAATCAAATGTTTTCTTTCAATATTTTCAATTCAACAATTTATTCGTTTACGTTCCCTAACGCTGAATAAAATTGATGAAGATGATTTTTATACTATTTTTCAATTTAAAAATACAATTTCATCATTATCATTTACTTTTCTTAAAAGTACTCTTCAAAATTCTCAAACAATATCATTACTATCTTCAATAATTTCTAATAAAAATCTTCGTTATCTTGATTTTAATTTATCACCAAAAGATTTATTATGGTCTAATCAATGTCTACTTCAAACTTTAATCATATCTAATACTCTAAATTTTACACAATTTTCTACAATAATTTCTAATTTATTACTATTAAAAAAATTTGTATTACAAGATTGTATTATTCATAAAAACGATATTATTGATTGTTCAATACATTATTTACAATTAATTTCATTAAGTTTTAATGATAGTAAATTAAATATGGATAATTGTGAATTACTTTTATGTTTATTTCCTTTATTAGAACATTTTCATATAGTTGGAGGAGATTATTTCTTTGATGGTTTTCGTTGGGAAAAATTTATTCAAAAAAATTTATTAAAATTAAAAAAATTTGAATTTGCTTTTTGTGGTAATACAAGTATGCTATGGAAAAATTCGAATGATATCGAATCTTTAATTACTCCTTTTCGAACACCATTTTGGATTGAACATAAACAATGGTTTGTCGTTTGCTGTTATTTTATAGATACAAATAATTATACTCTTTATTCACTACCAATATGCAAATCAAATGTAAGATTATGTCCGAATAAAAATAAAATATCCTATTCGACCTATTCAAATTTTTATAATGATATCTCAATGACTGATAATGTTTATAGTATGCACATAAATTTAACTATTTCGATGGTTAACCAAGATGATAATAAAAAGGTATTTATATAAGACAATAATTATCACAAAAGATATCCGACTGTGAGCATGTTATTGATTCTTGATCATATAGTCTTCCGGAAGTTACGTCCGTACAGAAGCACGAGCCAGATATTAACAACGAGATACGTCTTTGAATGCATTGAGCTTAAAACATTTGCTGAGAGAAGTCAATTCTTGGACACTTTTGTCTATACACACAGTTCTTAATACAAGGAAAGCCTAACGAAAATAAATTAGATTTAGAATATCGAAATAATTATTTTTATTTTTTATAGAATATATTATCACAGAACCCATCTTTTCGTAAATTAAATGCCTTATCGCTTTGCATTGAAAATGAATGGCCAACTGGTTCAACAGAATATCTTTCAACATTTATTAATTTATCATCTATTAGTGAATTATCAATTAGTATTGATCTTGAAAATGAATATGCTTTAGATAAACTTACAAATATTACAAATTTATTAAATCAATTATATAATTTACAATCAGTGAGAATTGATAATTGTCTAACGAGTGCAGAAATTATTTGCTTATTAGTACCAAATCATATAAAATATTTACGTACAGTAGTTCGAGATATTGATGATATGAAATTTATTATTGAACAACTTACACATTTATCGAGTATTACATTTGAAATATTTGGTAAAATGAAATATTTCTTAGAAGATTTCTTAACATGGCTTATGGAAAAAAGAATTAATTCAACATACAGATATGACGATCAACTTCTTAGTATATGGTTAGGTAAAATTAATAATTAAAAAATCGAGAAGATTTTTCAAGTTAATAAAATATACTCTTAAGTTTTCAATGTAGAACAATATCACCCATACTCACATCGTTTCTTTGTTCTTATTTATTATCTATTTTAATTAAATATAAAATTAACATTCAACAAATATTTCGGATTAAAATTGTTCAATCCCATGCAGCTGATGCACCACGTGATTTTAAACGTCCTTCATAAAAACCGACAAAAATACCATTAAAAAATGTTTTTAATTCATTAGATATTTGATTAAAATTAATAGAACGTTTATTCATGCCATGTTTATACCAATATGTAGTAAAATTTATATTTGATTTAAAAAATACTTCCGGTACATTATATGGTTTTTCTAGTTCTTCAAGTAGATTATCTTGTGGAATTAATTGTTTAATCGTAGTTGCTTCAAGAAAAAGATTTAAATGATCAATTGAATTATTTCGTTTAGGACTTAAATTATGTACAAGATGTACCATTAATAGAACAATTTCTTTATGAAGTTCTTGAATATCATTTTTATCTGTTATAGATGAATCAATATAATGTCCAGCAAAATTTCGAATAAATCGAATAAGTTTACATATCATATTATCTGTATTATTAAGAATATACTTATGATACTGAGATAAGTTTTGAAATTCATGACTATATCGACATTTGTTTTGCTGTGTACATGATTGTGTATACCAAAAAGCACATATATTCGGTTGACGATAGGGACTGTTATGTTCATAATGAAATTGATGGTTTGATTTAGAACAATCACCATATTTTACTATATTGATACATAAACGTCGATCCCATAATAGTGTTTCCATATGAAGAGTGTCTTTTGTAGTTTCATGAATGTAAATAAATAAGAGAAGACCTTTTTCAAGGCGAGCAAAATTCACTGTTTTTGTACCTCCTCGTAATTCATAATAATTACTTGCTTGTGATATGTTTGTATTGGCTTCTTGTTCAAGCGTTATTGTAGCAAGATTTTTAGATAAATCATCCATATTGGAATCAGTTAAAGTCATAATAAAATATCTAAAAAGTTAAATTATTTTATAGGCTATAGATTTCCCAAAATGGATTTGTTCGATTATCTGTCCTCTTTATAAATTTATTGTTGAATCATCGAAAAAGTAAACAAACAACTATATATGTACGTATATACAATAACGAAAATAGAAGAGAAAAGAAAGGAAAGAACGAAAAAGAAGTTATATATGATCGTGTGTATAGCACAGATCATAACAGGATTTTATTCTTATTTTTCATTTTTGAAAAAGCATCGCGTAAACAGATTTTGAATGGCAAAATAGTGTTTTTTTCCATTTCATCCACATGCGTTTTTTCAAAACAAACTTCACTTGACATGTGAAATGAGACGTAACTCAAAAAAATGACTAAAATAACAGTAGAAAATATATCTATGATTATTGTTTATTGACGAAAAAAAATCATATATTAGTTGGATCTTGTACAGTAATAAACAACGATAAATGCGTAATAAATATATATAAATAAATAAAGAGAAAAAAACATGCATATAGAAACAAAGAATAAGCATGTGCATAAGTGTATGACGCAGAGAATATATCAATATAATATGATTATTTATGTTTGTTCTCCGAGTTTTCAAGTAATTAATTTTGAATAATGAACGAGTCATGATCACAGAATCTTTTATTAATGCTATTACAATAATTACGAAACTTTTTTTTTCTTTTTAAAAATTCTTTCGTTTAATTAAGAAAAATAACAATACAAGTGAATCTTTCTAATCAAGCAATACAATCTATTCAAGCGAAAAAAAAGAGTATTACAAGAGAGTTTTACGATCAGTGCTGAGAAAAGTATTGCACTTAAATTTTATCATGTAAAATAATATTGACAAAAGTATAAAGAACACATTTTACATTATGATTAAATTTCAAAATTCAGTTAAGTCAATTGTATCTATTATATTTTACTTAACGAACTTAGCAAATGAATTGAATTGTGTTAGATATTTCATTGTAATAGATATTGTTTATGATAACATGCTACTGAATGGAAGTATTTATATGAAAAATTTTAAAATTCTTTCAATTAGAAAATATCGAAACGTCACACATCTATTGCAATAGCCATATGGTATATTTCTAGTTTTACTGTATGAATGATTGAAGTAAATATTTAAATTACTATGTGGGTTTTACGGAACTTAGAAACAGGAGGCGTGAGTACAGACAGCAAAGAAACAACTTTTGATAGAAAGTTCAAAAAAGTACGTTCATCTCCATTGCTAAACAGCTGAAAAGCGGAGACAATGCAAAGACAGATTGGTACCTTAAATGATAATTACATTTGTCAAATATTAACAATAAAGAGTGCAGTCGATTCATATATATATATATATTATAAGAGCCTTTGCAGTCAATTTATTAGTACGGATATTTGAATAAAAATGTGTTCATATTCAGTATCTTTCGGTTTGAAACAAATGCTTCTTCACACGACATTAATAGCACATAATGAACTACAAGATAGTTATGATATTGTTATTAAATTCCATTCTGCAAAGGTGAATTGCAAAAGAAATAGTCTAAATAAATTCATTTTCTTTTTCCTATTATTATAGAACTTACCAAAAAAATTTCTTGGTCATACTACTCCATATTGTGTAGCTAAAATAGATCATAAAATTTCGTATACGTAAGTATTTTATAAAAAGAAGTTTCTGCACATTTAATATGATTTTGATATTTTATAGATCAACTATTATATCAAAAACGTCTTCACATACATGGGATAATGAAAAATGGTTCGTTCGAAATATTCCCATCAATGCCAAACTTTCTGTTAAAGTCTACGATAAAGATGATGATCAAATTGTTGATGATTATATTGGTCGATTTGATATTATTGATCTTATTAATTATACTCCTCCTGTCAAAGGCCATAAAATTATTGGACTATTTGGTCAACATCACGGTTACTTTCATTTATCTATTGAGTTGACGAAATCATCTGATGAAACTAAACATCTTCCACCTTATACATTCGATGGTCCTTGTCGATATTTTCGTCACGATTCATTTGCTGTTGGTCGTTTAACTATGCTCAATACTGATTATGTTTATTCAACATGGAAAATACAAATACGACGAATTTCTGAATTTTTCAAACCTTGTGATCGACAATATTGGAATAAAAAATATCTTGCAGCTCGAACTATATTTGGTAATTTTCCTCATTCTTTGGCATCACAAAGTACTATTAAATTAGCGCATAAAATTCTCTATGGTCGAACAATAAAAAATACTGAAAGTGGTCAATTAACAAATGCTGATCAGTTATGGAAATCAATCTTTACCGATCCGATAACAAAAGAAATTAAACCTTGTATTTATACATATATAATTGATAATAATACATGGCGATTTAGTCAAACAGGTACACAATTTTTTACAAATTTTGCAAGTAAACATGCCTTATTAGCGAATTGTTCTGAACATGTTCGTTATGCTGGTGAATTTCATCCTCGTCCAAAATATGGTTGGGATAGATGTGATGATGAATGGGAATTAGTATTTGATAATGGATCTGGTACTTATGCACCAGATGCCAGTCTCTTGATTAATTTGAAAGAATTATTAGCATTTAATTTTCCTGGTTTAAATATTGTTACATATAATCGTGAAGATCCACAATTAAAACAAAATATACAACAATTAAAGTTATTTATGGAAAATTAATCAAGTTTTATTGTACAAAATGTTAAATTTGTTTTTTTTTGTATTTAAAATTCATAATTATCTTCTTCACATTTATATTATTTGTACATAGTGAATATATGGTTTTATTTTTATTCAATAAATAAATAGCTAACATAACAACAAAATATACTAATGATTATTTATCATTATGAGTAATATCATTTTGATATGTGATGTTATCAAAAGGTGAAGGTCATACAAAAAACAATCTATGAAGAAAACTTTTTCATCATAGTATATTTTTTATCGATAGTATCACCATTGTTTGTAGACCATCAAGTACCAGTTATAAATGAGATAAAGAAAAAAGGATAAATAATTATTTAGACGTTGAAAAAATTGTTAGTCGGAGAAGTATGTTTAATCAGTTTGATCTTTGCACTTTTTTAGAAACACATACAAATTTTTTTTTCTTAAGCAATATATTCTTCCTTTAGATTGAAGCATTGCATATACATCACTTCCGATCAACCTTCTATTTATTCACGATACATGTTAGTTAGGCGATAATGATAGATAATTAACAAAAACCTGACTCAATCTTTGTATCTCATGCTTGTAATAGTCCTTGAATGGTGAGTGATGAAGTGTAACCAAATCAATAAAAAGACAAAAAATGTATAAAATAACGTGTACATGATGAAACCTAGTTCATTGTTTCACCATGCGTGATCGTACATATTTGTTTATTATCAATATGTCTATATATTTTTAAATAAAAGAAGAAAAGTATATCATTTGTTTCGCATCTATACAAAACCTCATTCACCTTGAGTATATACATATTCAGTTCAATTTATCGGCATACATATATCCTTCAATGATTTCAACCCCACTCGCTCCAAGGAATACTGAATCGTAAGTAAAAATCACCTTTCTTTTTTTTTATGTAAATTTATTTACTGTTAATAATTGTAGGTTAATTTTTTCATTATGCTGTGTCGCTTTCGCTGGCGCATCTATATCAGGAATCGTTATTCTCTCATTAATCAGTGTTTATCTAGCAAATAAAGGTTCAAGTCTTAATGGACGTAAGTTTTTCATACTGTATATGTCTCAGGTTTTATTTTTTGAGTTGAATGGGTATTTTCATTTAAAAGAATGAACTGATATATTTCTAAGATGCGTATCTTGTCTTATCTGTAACGTTGATCGATAGTAGAGAAAAATTTATATAAAATTAAAAAAAATAGATGATAGAGCGATTCAGAACTTAGAAACCGATCAATACTTACTTGTCATAAGCTTTTTAGTAGTATTAAATAGGATAGATTTGATAAATTCTAGCAATAATATGCGGTCTATCGTTTACTTCAATGACTTCTCAACGTGTTGGCAATGGACCATCATATATATCTGGTGCTGATCTTAATAATGATCATAAAATAGATCTTGTTACTGCTAATTATGATGATAGTACTATAAGTGTACTCCTTGGGAATGGTGATAATACTTTTCAAAATCAAGTCAAATATTCAACTGGTACAACTAATGATAATCCAAATGCATTATACATTGCCGATGTAAACAAAGATGGTAATCTAGATGTAGTCACAGCTAATAGTGGTACAAGTAATGTGGCCGTATTTCTTGGAAAGGGTGATGGAACGTTTTCAACAGCAAAGATATATTCAACAGGAACTGGTTGTAAACCAACAGGACTTGTTCTTGGTGATTTAAATAAAGATGGTAATAATGATCTAGTCGTTACAGATGAAACAAATAATGTTGTTTTGATATTTCTTGGAGACGGCACTGGTGCATTTACATTAACAAATACACTATCGTCTGATAGTAATTCTAAACCATATGGTGTTACTATCAATGATTTTAATGGAGATGGTCTACCGGATATTGGTATTACTAATTCTGGTACAAATAATGTTGGAATATTTCTTAACAATGGTAATACAATCTTTAAACCACAGACAACATACTCGACTGGTAATAATCCTGTTGCAATGACTGTTGTTGATTTTAATAAAGATGGTATATTAGATATTGCTACAGCAAACTATGCTGGAAATAGTATAAGTGTACTTCTTGGCAATAGTGCTGGAACTTTCCAAGCACAAAAATTATTTTCTACTGGTAGCGGATCTTTACCTTATTCAATCTATAGTGGTGATTTTAATGGAGATAAAAATCAAGATATTATAGTACCTGATTCTGGTACAAATAAAATTACTATATTCCGTGGAAATGGTCATGGAAACTTTCGAAGTCAAAAAACTTATTCAACCGGTGATGGTTCTAATCCAGTCGATATAACTGCAGTAGATTTAAATAACGATAATCGACTAGATTTTGCCTCTGCAAATTATGGAACGAATACAGTTAGTGTGTTTTTAAATACTTGTAATTAATACTAACGTTAATTTCAGTTCATTATTAATCATAGATTAAAATAATAATTCATATATTTTTTTATTTCATTCAAATAAAACTTAGTATATCTATATGAATTCTTTTCTTATAAATGATGTTGTATTTATCCAGAGCATATAGGAAATATGAGAATAGAAAATTTGCATATTTTCCGCTGCTGCTTACAGTAAAATTTCAATAGATTATTTTTTTTTATTACTGATTAAATCATCTGACAAGATGACTATGTTAAATTTAGATATAACTCGTAAGTGATGTTTTATATATTGACAAACTCAAGTTATAATCAACGTCATCATATTAGATATAAGGATATATCTGTTATATTTTGCTCATTTTTAATACTAAATGAATGAATTTTTTTATGACCTTTATCTCACATATGGCTTCATGATGTTTCTTATCTTATATTTATTAATCAATTGTAAACTCAAATAAAAATCTTTCTTTACATATGGTAATAATATATTTTTCTCCTCTCATAAATGCCCTTGACCGTCGTTCTTTTTCTTTTCTTTCTTTCTTCTTTTAAAAAAAAAAGTTGTGATTGTTATACTGTTGTAAAACATGGTATGGGGTATATATGTAACACGCGAGTGGATGAAAGCAATGAGTGTTATGTAGAAAGAAAAAGAAAGAGAAGAAAGAAAGAGAAAAAAACAAATTATAGTGTATCACGTTGTCCTCGTCGAACTGACTTCACAATGACAAAAAATGACGCCTTTTTTACTGATTATTCATAATAATATGGGATAAGACAGTAAACTCATCACGTTTACACAATCACAATTATTTAGTTCAATTTAAATACAAAATTATTGGATTAATGTCTTCTGATTCAAGATCGTCTAGTTTTGAAGATATATCGTTAGAAGCAGCACTCGCAACTTTAGATGAAATACAAGGAAGTTATGATGTTATTATTGAATTTCATTCAGCTGAGGTATATTAAATAATAATTATAATTTTTAATAATTTTCTCTTTCAGGATATACCAAAGATGGATGTAATCGGACATGCTGATCCGTATTTTATAGCAAGTATTGATGATCAGATATCATATACGTAAGTATTAGTTTGAATTAATGAGAAAGGATGTTGTTTACTCGATTAAAATTGAATTATTTATAATTGTATTTTTTTTTTGTCGTTGTAGATCTTCTATTATTCCCAATACGGGAACGCCTAAATGGGAAGATGAAAAATGGATTGTTCGTAATATTCCTGCCGATGCTAAACTTACAGTTAAAGTTTATGACAAAGATGAAGATACAGTTAGTGATGATCATGTTGGTGATTTTGAGATTGATAATTTAATTGATTATAATGCACCACCAAACGGTCATGAAATACTTGGTCCGTCTAATCATAAGAATGGTTATTTTCATTTATCTATCGAGTCGATGAAATCATCTGATGAAACTAAACATCTTCCACCTTATACATTCGATGGTCCTTGTCGATACTTTCGTCATGACTCATTTGCTGTTGGTCGTTTAACTATGCTCAATACTGATTATGTTTATTCAACATGGAAAATACAAATACGACGAATTTCTGAATTTTTTAAACCTTGTGATCGACAATATTGGAATAAACATTATCTTGCTGCTCAAACTATATTTGGTTTTTGTCCTGTTTCTACAGCATCCCAAAGTACTATTAAATTAGCACATAAGATTCTCTATGGTCGAACAATAAAAAACACGGAAAGTGGTCAATTAACAAATGCTGATCAGTTATGGAAATCGATATTCTCCAATCCAATATCAAAAAAAATTAAACCGTCTATTTATTCCTATGTTATCGATGATAATACATGGCGATTTAGTGAAACTGATGCTCACTTCTTTGCTGATTATGCAAGTAAACATGCATTATTAGCGAATTGTTCAAAATATGTTCGATATGCTGGTGAATTTCATCCTCGTCCAAAATATGGCTGGGATAGATGTGATGATGAATGGGAATTAGTATTTGACAATGCATCTGGAACTTATGCACCAGATGCTAGTCTATTAAATAATTTGAAAGAATTATTAATATTTAATTTTCCTGGTTTAGATATTGTTACATACGACCATGATGATCCGCAATTAAAAGAAAGTTTAGAACAATTAAAAAACTCAGCAGAAAAATATCTAAACAGTACAACGACAATTCAAAAACTTGTAATGAACTGTCCTACGTCAGCTAAATAGTATATCTAAAATGATTTGTAATTTTTTTTTATTTATTTTTGTGTGAACTTAGTTTTGTTTTTCCAGATATTTTGTAAATCAAGCGTTCCATAGACCGGTGTATTTATACTTAGTTTTTTTTGTTTAAGCATAGAAAGTAAACATGTAATTTAAAATCTGTGTAAATGTTTATACATATATATATATCAAAATACATTGATCATTCATGTTTTCATACTTAATTTTTAATAGAAATATATTGACTTACCACTGGGTACATAATATTTAGACAAACATTAAAAACTATTCGTTCGAACGAACTTCTATAGAGAAGAAGCGTAGGTTTTTTTTTCTTTAACATATTTTTTCGACCCGCCTTTTTCTTTTTCGTAAGTATTGTGTATTGATTACGATTGTTTTTACTGTTCTTTCATATTTTTCTCATAAACTAGCAAAACAGATGCGATGTAAACAGTTAAAACGGAGAGGTAAATGTACTCATCTCATATAACCTTTATTCCCTCGTTGTGTACTCATTTCAGTAGTTTCATATAAATACACTCACATTTTTCATTTTTTGTATCACACAATTATTCGTTTATATCAAAATAAACATATTTCTCATACTTTACAATCAAAGTAAGAAAAAAACATTTGTCTTACATTTAAAATTAGATCTATTAAACAAATCTTAGATAGAATATTTCTTTTTCTAGTAAATAATGAAAGCAGCAGTTGTAACAGCCTTCAAAAAACCACTTGAAATTAAACAAGTAGAAATTCCAAAACCTGGACCCAATGATGTTTTAATTAAAAATATTGCTTGTGGTGTATGTCATACAGATTTACATGCAGCTCATGGAGGTAAAAATTGATTAATTGAAGTATATTAATTAAAATAAAAAAAATTTCGTTTTTTTTAAAGATTGGGATGTTAAACCTGATTTACCACGTATTCCAGGACATGAAGGTATTGGTGAAATAGTTGAATTAGGTTCAATGGTTAGTAATCATTTGAAAAAAGGTGATATTATTGGTGTACCATGGTTACATTCTACATGTCTTCATTGTGAATATTGTTTAACTGGTCGAGAAACACTTTGTAAGGGACAATCAAATTCAGGTTATTCATGTGATGGTTGTTTTGCTGAATATGCACTTATGGATGCAAATTTTGCTGTTAAACTTCCAGAGGGAATGGATCCATATACATCAGCACCACTTTATTGTGCTGGTGTAACTGTTTATAAAGCTTTAAAAGTTTCTCAAGTTCGACCTGGCGAATGGGTATCAATTGTTGGTGTTGGTGGTCTTGGTAAATAATAATAATAAGATTTTATGATTATTTGAATTTCTTTTTTATTAATAGGATCTGTTGCTGTAAGATATGCTGTAGCTATGGGAATGCGTGTTGTTACTGTTGTTGCTCCAAACGATAAGGTAAAGGGATTATAAAAAATTGAATTTTTGCTTATCTTTATGATTAGACTGCTGTACAATTATCGAAAGATTGTGGAGCTGAAGAAGTTTTTGATGGACCACCTGATCAACATGGTAAATGGATACAAGATAAAGTTGGTGGTGTTCATGGATCAATTATTACTGTACCCATTGTTTCTGCTTTTGAACAAGCTTTTCAATCAGTTCGACGTGGTGGTCGTGTTGTTGCTGTTGCTTTACCTAATGGTAAAATGTCTGTACCTATTGTTGATTGTGTTTTAGGTGGTATTGAATTAGTCGGTTCTATTGTTGGTACACGAAAAGATTTACAAGAAGCATTAGAAATTGCTAAACTTCATAAAATTGAATGTAAAGTACAGAAAAAAAGATTAGAAGATATCAATGAAATATTTGATGATATGATTAATTATCGTATTAGTGGTCGAATAGTTCTTGATTTTTCTGCAAAATAATCTTTTCCTTTTTTTTATATATCAAGTTTTATTTTTTTTTATAGTAGTATTTGAATAAATTCTTCGATAAAAAAATATATATATATATATTATTTAATATCAAAGGCTAAAGAAAAAATTTTTCAATGATGTTTCATTATAGATCAAGATCAGATAATCTATTTATTGAAATGAGTTTTTGTTAATTATACATATATAGAATTAAAAAATTGAGATAATTTGTTAATTGATTTTTTTATTAGTTTATTTTATTGTATGACGTTTCAGCCTATGAATAATTATAATATTTGTATTTTCTATTTAAAAACAATATATAATAGTTATATAGAACTATATATAAAGCTCGAATTAATATTTTAATGGATAAAAAACAACATGATAATTTTAAAATAGAATCGCAATTCTCGCTTTAGTTAATATATCAACTATATTTTCCATGCGTAATTGATTTTTGCTGATGTCAGCATATGACCGATAATAGTATCATCAGATAGTCTCGAGGGGACTGTATAATATATATATATATATGTAAGAACAGCAAGTACATAAATGAAAGAAACGAAGCAAAAAAAAAGGAAAAGTAACAAACACATATGTCATCAATGTCAATCTAAAAGATAAAAAATGCAAAACGAACAAGACCCAGAGAAAGATTAAATATAAGTAGGTAGTAGCCGCTATACTATGAATTTGTCAGAAACAAGATAGCTAGTTCTTTTTGTTGTTGTTGTTGTCTGTATGTATGTATCTATATAAAACTCTCTCACTAGACAAAAGTAAGTCAGTTTAATTATTCTAGATAGTTTTTATTTTCAACAATGGGTATACGTCATGGAAAACAAACAAATTTAAATACAATTCATTATGAATCTCTTTTAGCAATAGATAAATATCAACAAATTCCAATAGTTTCACTTGAACAAGCTGTTAAACCATTAATGACTATTTTACCAACCATACAAACTTATGTTCAAATGGTTAAACAAAAATGCCTTCATCCATCTGATGGATTAACAATTGATGAATCAGCTTCTATTATGCTTTATTCAATAATATGGCAACCATATGATCAATGTCTTTATATACTTTTAAATTCAACTTTACCAAAATTAAATGAATATCATTTACGACCATGGTTTCTTTATTTAAAACTTTTATTTACTGCGCTTATACATTTACCATCGAATCATTTAACTGTTTATCGTGGTAGTAAATCAGATTTAAGTAAACAATATCAACTAAATGATATTATACTTTGGGGAGATTTACCATTATGTACAACATCAATAGAATATTTACAATCAGATAAATGTTTAGGAAATATTGGTATCCGAACAATATTTCGAATTGAATGTCGTACAGTTAAAAATATCTATAGACATTGTTATTTTCAATTAAATAATTTTGTTTTATTTTTACCAGCTACAAAATTTAAAGTTATTGAATATAATCATCAAAATCATGATAATTTACATGTAATTACACTTCAAGAAATTGAATCATCATTTCTTTTACATTCCGTTAATCAAATGAAATTAAATTTAAATACACAAATAATATCATTAAATATATTTCGAAGGTAAATGAAATTAATTTTTATAATCTTATCTTTATGTGAATAATTTAGATTTCTATTACCATTTAAAAAACCAGGAAATCCAACATCAATAGCTAATGATAATTATCGTAATACATCACTTGAACATCGTATTAGTGAATATGAAAATTCTTGGACCGTAGATTTAGACAGACAAAATTTAACTGATCGAGATATGAATATTGTTGTTAAATATGCCATTATTAAAAATCGTTGTAAACGTGTTCGTTTACGTGATAATTATATAACATGTCAAGGTAGTTCAATATTATCTGAAGGTTTATATAATAATACAACACTGGAATCATTAGATCTTCGTAATAATCAAATTTCGGATTTAGGTGTACAATATTTATCATCATCAATTATATATGCAAATATCAAAACACTTAATTTAGAATCAAATGAAATTACAGCTGAAGGTGCACAATATTTAGCACAAATGCTTAAAGATAATCGAACAATAACAGAAATATATTTATCAAAAAATCATTTAGGTGATCAAGGAATTGAATTAATAGCAAATGCATTGAGTAATGATGTTCTTAATTTATCAGGACAACCAAATAAAGTAAATGCCTTTTTTTTCAAACCTTAAATCAAACAATTCGTACTCTGTTTTTAAGAGAAATAACGTAGGATTTAGGTCATGCTATTTTTCGTGTAATAATCTAAACAAATATTTGTGTTTGTCATCGACTATGATAATTAATGAATGACATCAATATAAGACATCTGTCAACTGTCTCTTTTTTCTTTGTCTTTACAATATAATATACCATAATCCGACATTAGTTTTTGTGTTATGGCATATATTAATTAAAAATTCAAGAGGCTATATTTCTCACACTTTCTTAATTATGATTTTTCTTTTAGGTATTATGTGTGAATAATCCATCGACACTTCAACATCTATATATTGGTCAAAATGAGATAACAGATGAAGGTTTAAAACATCTTTCAAATATGCTTAAAACTAATCGAACATTAACATGGTTATGGTTAGCGGGTAATGAAATAAGTAATCAAGGAGTTGAAGTTTTATCGAATATACTTGCGGATTATAATATAAGTATTGAATGGTTATTTCTTAATTCAAACAAATTAATAACGGATGCAAGTATTGATGCACTACTTAATATGCTTAAACGAAATAATACATTAAAAACACTTTATATAAATAATTGTAATTTATCGGATATTACAAAACGAAAACTTCTAAAAATGATGAAAACAAAAAAAGATTTCGATTTAGAAGTATAAATAAAAATCAATAATGATTTTTTTTCCTGTTTTGTATTATAAAAATAATCATATTTTTATCAACAGATATTCCTTGTTGTTTGATTATAAATTATTGTAAATGTTAAAGAAGCAGGTCCACCCATTATACTACCTTTTTCATACAATAAACCGATTGATTGATCATTCAATATTGTCATTGATGAATAACCGGATGAACCTGGACATATCGTTTTTATATATGTCCAATGTTCACCGTTATCGTGACTAATATATAATGAAAGATTAGTACGAGTTATAGATATTTCAGCTAAACCTGTATAGAATAATTGACCTGTATTTTTATGATAAATTGTGGAACCTTCACATCCATGTAAAAGTTGTACAAGTGTATTTAATACTTTCACCTTGTTGAATGTTATTCCACCATTATTACTATACGCACCAATTCTTTTTGTTGTGTGTGAACGGGAATTTATAAATATTGAATTCGTATTAGGTAATAATTCAACAGCTTGACCTTCATTTGGATAATAATTATGAAGATTAATCTCTCCACCTAAGTACCATTTATCGATTTGACCATTAAAATCATTCAACATAACAAAACCGGTAGACGAAGAGCCACTTATTACATTTGAATTTGTTGAATAATCACCAGGAATTAATATTCGATTTGATTGTAATAGTAAACCACCAGGTGGACCTAGAGCAACCCATTTCCAATTAGGTTTAGTTACGTTGAGAATAATTTGTGGTTGAGAAAAAGTTAATCCATCATCATCAGAATATGTCTGCATAACAAT